AAAATAGATTCAATGGAACTTTGCCAAGCTGCCTAAACATGTCATCACTGAGGTACTTGCATTTACGAAGCAATGATTTCACAGGACCCATGCCTTCTGTTTTGAACAAATCTCCCCTTGCTGTTAACTTTGGATTTGACTAAGAATAGATTTTCAAGTCAAATTCCGAAGTGGTTCAAGTCAATGTTGAATTTAAGGTTCGTCCTCCTAAAGGGAAATAAACTCGAAGGTTCCATTCCTATGGAAATGTGTAAGCTCAAGAACATAAGCATACTGGATCTTTCACAAAACAAGCTTTCTGGAAGGATACCATATTGCTTGAGTAACATCACATTTAGAAGGATGGCCGAGATGGGTGAAGCCAAACTAGGAAAATTTTTTGTCCCTTGGACTACAAGAGGCCCGTTATTTGAATTCAACCGTACAAGTGGCGAGCTTGTTCAAGGTGAAATTGAACTAAGCTTTTCATGGTACAAGGAGCAAGAGTGAACTTCATGTCAAAAAGTAGGTATGAATCATATGAAGGAAATATATTAGATTTAATGTCTGGCCCAGATCTTTCAGGTAATCAGTTGACAGGTGAAATCCCTTTGCAAATTGGACAATTCGACGCTATCCATACATTAAATTTGTCAAACAATCATTTGTCAGGGCCTATTCCAAAAACATTTTCTAACCTCGTGCAGATAGAGAGTTTAGATCTTGCAAACAACAATTGACAGGCCATATTCCTTCACAACTGACACAGTTTGTATTTTTTGTCTGTCTTCTCTGTGGCTCATAATAATTTATCTGGTGCAATACCTGACATGAAAAATCAATTTTTCAACTTTTGACCCAAGTTGTTATGAAGGGAATCTTTTTCTTTGTGGTCCACCGCTACAGCGTAAGTGTTTATCTATTGATAAACAAGCAGAGAGAAACAAACAAGAAGATGGCTTCCGAGATGCCTTCTTATGGAGTTTGCTGGAGCATTCGCGGTCTTCTTTCTAGGTGTTATTATCTTCTCGCATTTTAAACTCTTACTTTTACAACTACAAATGAATAGAAAGAGAGAGAACAAATTACTTGTATGGAAAATGAAATCATTATCCGAAGGTTGCTTAGTGCGTACTGTTTGGTTCATTGGCCCGATATTTTCCCTTCAACTTTCAGCTTCCTCTACTGGCTAGGCCTTTTGTTTTTTTATTTTGGTTCAAAAGGCCCTTTATGTTTGATATATCTCTGTGTGCGCGCGCATTACACTTGGCAAAAGGGGGGGAAAAAATAAAGCACAATTCCCACCAACAAACTGAAATTTAAAACGTGCATACAACAATTCTTTTGTGTGTTTTTATTTAATGACAATGCCGCCGCCTCATTCATCCATGGATGGAATCGGAGAGAAAACCGGTGTGTTGTTTAATGGCCAAGCCCAATTATACAGACTCATATATCTTTGGATGTTTTTGTGTCTAAAGTGTGTCATTGAGCTTGAAATATCAGACATAATCCACAAGCATGCCAACCCATCCCTCTTTCTCACTTGGTATCAGATTCAAAATCCCACCATCTAAAACTACCTTTATTAAAGGTTTCATTACTACCAAAAAAACAAAAAAATTCATGGTGCTAATTTACAGCAGCCATTAGGCAAAATGCTGTTAAAAAAATGGCAGTAGCATTTTTGCAATTATATGGAAGAAAATTGAGAAAATTACATATAGGTCCCACAAAAGACAATTTATTCCGGAAAATTCCCCTGAAATGCTTCCTAAGTCCATAGGAACCACAGAGTAAAATATTGGAATTGTGAAAAGTCTGTTTTGCCCTCATTGATTGAAAGAGAAAAAAACAGAGGGAAAGCCTTTAGTTGGTACGCTAGTGCTACATGCATAAGGAAGAGAAGCTTCTGAAAGAAGGAACGAAGGTCTACACAGGTGTTCCATTATTCCAGGCAAGTATGTTTTTTTTCTTCATCTTCTTTGTGGGTCTCATCATTAACAACATTTCTCTTCTTTCGTACACAACTGGTCTTAAGTTTAATGTTGGTTTGAAAAGTTGATTGGCTGTAGGTATGTGGGTATTAAGGATGTGATTCAACTCACTTGAACTATCAAGGGAGGCTCATTTTAATCATATGTGGTTTTAATCATCCTAGGTGTGGTTTTGTTATGCATGGTTAGGGTTATAAAGTGATTGCGTTGTTTTTTCGGTGAATGATGCTCTATTTTTCGGTGATTGATGCTGTATTTCTGATGAAAATGAATGAAAATCACATGTTTTTATTGTTATAACCCCTGTAATGTGATGGTTAAATATCTTGTTGATGGGTACATCGAAGGTTGTTAATATAACTATATGACTTGTTATTAATAAGTGATTGTGACAGGTTGATATGAAGGATGACAACTTCAAGTGGAAAGCATTTGTTTTGTTACCTTTATATAGGGGGACAATTTATTAATGGCGTAGAAGTTGAAATACAATATGTTGAGGTAGTGTGGGAACAAGAATGATAAAGGAAGACATATCATATGAAGAATTTAGAACAATGGTAGCATCAATTGTGGGAAAGAAAAGTAATGGAATAGTTATGAAATTCACAATAACCTTTAATGAGTGTACATTTGTGGACCTTGTAGATAATGAAGAAGTGAAACATTTAATTAACTTCAATGATGATAGTGGTCATGTACATATAGGAGAAAATGGAGATCAAAATTCACATCTATAACAAGGGATGTTCCAATAGAAGAGCAACATATGTAAATTGTATTATTTAAATTTTGAAGTAATGTTAGCTATTGTCAATTGTTATGCATAAATTGTTATTGCAGTGATCGAAGGTTGTCATTAACGACCCCATGACTTCTCGTGTTATGTAGGATTGAAGACTTGTTCGAAGGTTCAGATGCATTGTCTATGTCTCCACCCAATGTGTTTAGTGAAAACCCACTATCATTGCCATGTGGTTCACAAATGATGCCAACCCCAATTCTGGAAATGAATTCAACAAAGTAGAAGGGTTTGGTTATTAGAGAAGGACAAATTTTTCCTAATGCTGTAGCCCTTAGGTAAGCACTATATAGGTACAGCATTGCTAAGAAGTTTTCATACAAATTTGTGAAGAACAATCAACAAAAGACCATTGTGAAGTGTATAACGGAGGGATGCCCGTGGTACATGGGTGCATACTCAATGGGACAAAGACAAGGTGCTGAGTTCTTAATAACAAGAACATTAAGAAGTGAGCATATGCATTATGCACAGGACAGCTTGGTTGTATCTCACTTTGGAAGGTCAAACTTAACATCATCAATCATGATAGATTCTTTGAGGTATAATGTAGACAAGAATACTAATGAAATTAGAAGAGATTTCTACAGAGAATATGGGGTGTGACTGAATTATCGTCAAGCATATAGGGGTAGAGAAAGAGCATTGAGGAAAATACATGGTTATGCACAAGATTCGTACATGGTGATTCCCTGGGTTTGTGAAAGGCTTATTGAAATTGATCCAAACACAATTGCTCAATGGGAAGGCTTGGATAGTAATAGATTTGAGAGGGTGTTCATTGCTTATGGATGCTCAATTAATGGATTTTTAGAAGGATGTCGAAATATACTTTATATAGACGGATGTCATCTAAGTGGTCCTTATAGGGGGACATTAATTTCAGCTAACGTATATGATGCAGACAATGAACTTTTTCTATTAGCATATGCTATAGTTAGTGGGGAGACATATGATGATTGTGATTGGTTTCTCCAGAATGTCAAAGACATCACCAGATCAGTGGAGACAACAATAGTTTCATGTCAAAATAATGCCAATATAGGTGCTATGCAGACAGCATTTGGCAACAAGAGACATGTTTTTTCGTATAGGCATGTGAAAGAAAATTTTAGTACACATTATTTAAAACTTAACCGTGGCAGTGGGTGAGTTTCAAGTACTTCGAAGGAGGTTGCATTGAAAATGCTGGATGGAATCGCCTACGCAAGAATTGAGAATGAATATGTTGCTCCAATAGGAAAACTTAAATCATTTTATCCACAATTAGCTGATTGAATTGAGACTCAAGAAGATATAGATCGATGGGCTTTAAGCAAATTTCTGTTTAAATGATGGGATAATATCACCACTAATGTTGCGGAGTCGTTTAATGCTTAGATTTTGAAGGAGAGGAAGCACAATGCATCAGTTCTTATACATGAGCATATGGAGAAATTAGTGAAGAAGATGGTTGCAAGCAAAATAACAATGGTAAATAAAACAAATGGTGTTGGGCCAAATATTGAGTCCAAGTTGCAAGAAAAAGTGGTAAGAGCGAAGAATATGCATAGTGTATATTATGGAGATAACCGACTTCAAGTTCATACTACATCTCCTACTAAAATAATGTGTCACTGTTGATCTAATCACACATATATGCACTTGCTTAGAATGACAAATGAGCGGAATACCTTGTGTACATACATGTGCAACGATAAAGCTACTTCACGGTAGTGTCTATGAATTTGTAGATGATTACTATAAACTGTCTGTCCAAGAGAAAATATATGCAATTAGTATAAGACCAATTGTGACACATGATTGTCCACATCCTGAAGCTCTCACCGTTACGCAAATGATGACAGGAACATTTTTATAGCCACCAATTACCAAAAGACCCTCATGGAGGCTAAAGAAAAGAAGGATTGAATCTCAATTTCAGAAATAAAAGACTTTATTACTGTGAAAGATGCCATGAGCTAGGCCACACTGTGAAGACTTGCCAGAACCCAAATCCAAGTTGAGCTTTATTGGTGGCTTGTTTATATTTCTTTTTGTGAATACTTGTGATAGAATTGTTTTGTAAATGTCATAACCTGCACCTCAAGTTGTTCGTCATTATCCACACATGCAACCCGTATGATTTTTTGAATGGGTTGTAAATTTGGTATAGTTACATTGTACATATATATATCAAGTGGTAAATGACATCTAGTTGTAATATGATATAATATCATATCTGTATTTTGATCTACTTGTCAATAGGTTGTAATGGACTTGTTATCAGATGCCATGGAAGTTGTCATTGGCGGTCTGAATTATGTTACTGATATAAGTGATAATTTCTTCTACTTGCAGTGTTCAATGATTTCTTAACACATCCGAGTCGTGTTAAAGTTGTAACATGATATGATTTGGTTATAATTTAATGTTATGTGGAGGCTGTGATATCCCACAGCGTGAGTTGTCAAGGGCATTGCAAAGGTTGCTAACCACTTTTCTTCAGATTGTCAACAATTGCCGTTGAGGTTGTAAATGAACGTCTACAATAAAAATCTATTATAATCCTATTTGGTCCAGCTAAAGTTGTTAATAACTTTAAAATGCTTCCCGTTATATTTTTAAGGTCATTATATGTGCTAATAATTTTTTAGAAGCTGTGGTATCCCATAGAGTGAGTTGTCAGGGGCACTGCTGAGGTTGTTAACCACTTTTCCTTAGGTTGTCAACAGCCACTGTTGAGGTTGTAAATGGATGTGGCAAAGAGGACTGTGATATATGGCTATCATGTTATCATGGTTACCATTTGTTTATCCAATTTTATTTAGTCTGCATTTTTGGACATGATCCGGGTTTAGAACGAAGAATTTCATCATTATCAAAACACATGAATACCATTACAAAAACTTCATAACTAGTAAACGATATCAATAGACATTAACATATCTTAACATCCAGCTATTATTATATGGTCAAATAAAAAAAATCTGAATTTTACATCCAGCTGTCAGTATGCTATGAAATTAAAAAAAAGTGTAAACTTTACATTTAGATGTCATTATACTGTCAAATAAAAAAAACTAAATACAATATATGCTAATAATTTATTTCTTCCTCTTGCTTTGGGGATTTTCTTGTAGCAAAGACAGCATTTGATCATCATGCAGGTTGTCTTGATGAGTTACAATCCACCACAAGCACCCAATCTTCAAGTCATGGATTTCTTGAGGGGAGTACTTAGGCATTATGTAGCCTTCATCACCATACTTCGTACCATCCCATGTTTGTAACCAGCTCAAAACATGAACCCCACAAGAGTCCCTGCAAAAGAAAAACTAGTACTTTAGTCAATGAACATTAGCTCCCAAAAGCTCAAACACAATTACTTGTTATGCACAACAACAACTCATGTGTCAGATTGCACATGAACTTTTGCCCATGTGACTTTATTTTTCTTTTATTTTCCCAACGAGTGGTTGTTTTATTCATAATCTTATTCTAATTCTTGGGGAATAGTTATACTTTGAAATAAATTCATCCATCAAAGTTTATGAGAATAAAGAAAATAACAAAAAACAAGTTAGCACAAGCCTCGCTTCCCGGTTCCCACCCCAGTTCCCACCCACATGTAGTGTGGCTGATATTAACATACCCGCACTTCCTATATATTGCAAAGAAAAGAACCTCTACAATTTTACTTCTAGTATTCTCTTTTATCTACAAAATCATCTGGGAAAGATTTGCATTTTGTTTACAAAACATCAGGTAGCATAATAGAAACGGAAGAATATTGTAGGAGGGAATATAAGTATAGACAAATTAATACTACTGCTTGCCTTAAAAGCTTATTCAGATTACCCACACAAAGAAATCAATCACAAACGAGGGAGAAGAAAATGACAGTAGGAGGACTCACCCAGACACAACCAATGATGAACCCACAATGCCAACGACGAAGGCAACACGAGCAACAAGGGAAGTAGTTTTAAACAACTAACAACGGAGGCAACGAGATTTATGGTGAAGAGTGACGATGATGAGGAAGCTGTGAAGTTGAAGGTAGACAATGGAAATGCATCGTGAAGAAGAAGATGGTCCCGTTAGAAACAAAAAGCGGCCGAGGGTCTGAGGCGGGGAAATATTCAGACTCAAATTAATGGGGGTAAGTAGGTAATATCATAATTAAAATTAATTATCCGCTAGTCCTAAGGACTTAGGAAGCACTTCAGGATTTTAGGGGACTTTTCCTGAATAAATTGTCTTCTATGAAACCTGTGTGTAATTTTCCCAAGAAAATTTTACTTTTTATGGCGATTATCAAGAAAGTCTTTTTCATGATTTATCAGAATTTCAAAACCCCATCCATCGCATGATAGGTTTTTACTTCTCACAGTCAGATATCAAGGTTCCCTACTCAATTTTCTCCCTCCCCCTATCTTTCTTGACGTTTATCCCTTCTTTCTATCATCTCTGCCATGTTCTTCCATCACCATTGCTATCACCATCACTCCATTGTCTTCATCTTTTTTTGTGAGTTTTTCGCCCTTTCTTTAGCATTCTTTCCATGAGTTTGATAGATTTTGTGGTTTGCTTCTTTTCTTTGATTAAAAATGTGGTGTTTGTTTTGAGTTTAAATAGATCTAATTTTTGTTTCTCTCTTTGCTTAAACATACTTTGATACTTGAAAGCTTGAGTAGATCTAATTTATGCTTCCCTCATTTTGTAGATCAGAGTTTGACATCATAAAATTAACAAATTTTATTAGATATGAGTCTTTGATTTTACCTTCATTAAATCATACTGACTTCAATCTGGCAATTGAAGGTAAGTGGTGCTATTATGGTGGGGGAAGTGTCTACTTTTGCTCTATCAGAATGCTTTTGACTAGTGGCTGGTTATTAGATGATTGATTCTTAAACCCCTTGCCTTGGAGTTTTGTTCTCTTGTTCCATTCCGATCAATAGGATGAAAGGGAAACTACCAAAAAAATGAATTTTTCACAACTGTTATTCATATAATAGCTGTGAAAATACCACAACAGTTTTTAAACTGCTGTAAAATCCTCCACATTTTACGTCAAGGGCATAGAAATTGTTCTCAAAACTACTATGAAAAACTCATTTTAACCTCTATAAAATGGTTTTTTTTTTTTGGCAGTAGTGCAGGCGCTTGCTAGCTCACAATGGCCTCTTCACTATCATCAAAACCAAAACAATGAAGAAGAAAGTGAAGTACCAAATGACCTCAATTCTTCATCACAGCTTCTTGTGAATGGCATAGACCGTTGTTTATGTCCAATAGTTCAGTTGGCAACATACCTTCTATAATTGATTTGTATCATCACTTAGGGAAATGGGTTTGTGGGAAAGAAAACACATTGAGAGAGACAATACTTGGCATAGGGAATGCTTTTGAGTTTCGTGAACAGAACCCAGAAGATATGGCGGTTGTTCAAGAAGGAATGGCTAGTGATTCGAGATTTCATTAAAGGGGCTTTGATGAGAGAATTTGAATATGTTTTTGATGGATTGGATTTCATTGTTGATGTTGATGGGGGAACTGGGACCATTGCTAACACTATCTGTGAAGCATTTCCCAATTTGAAATTCACAGTGCTTGATCTTCCTGAGGTATGCATGAAAACACCAATTTGAGTTTTGTTGGTGGCCGCATCTTCAAATCCATCCCTCTTGCTGATGCTGTTCTGATAAAGGTACGCATGTAACTTCAATGCTTAGTATATTGTTCTGCTTAATTTATATACACCAAAAAAAGGTACCACAAGGACTTCTTAAGAGGTCACTTAATGGCTATATAATTAACTTCCCTTGCTTGAGCTTCCAAAACTTATGCATCATATTATGTGTGGACACAGGTTCATATAAAAGAAATAGGAGCTATGGTATATCTGCAATTTTGCTTTGCTTATGCATGATTTGAAAGAATACTTAGAGAACTTTGTGTATGAAGCTGCAAATTAGAGGAACTAATTAATCAAGGTGCATGCGTTGAAGCCCAAATACAAAAGTTCATCGGATATAATTCTTAAGAATGTTGGGGGGAAAAAAAACAACAATAACAACTCTTAATAATATCATGAGATACCATTTTGGAATTTCGTCTTATAACTACTTGCACATCATTCATTATTGCCTAGGAGCTCAATTATTAAGACCAAAAAGTCTTTGCGTGTTCGCCCATCACATCTGATTCTAGATATTGCAATGATGGCCAAAAAATTTCTCAAAATTTGGGATTTTGAGCAAGTTACAATGAATTTTTTTTATGTTTAATTTTGAAAGCTCTTTATAGGATTACTCTACAATGTGATGACAAATGACAAGTGACAATTTTAAAGAAATTTTCTAAGGCCACACTGTGATGATACAGTTAAATTATTCGAAGAGTAAAGACAAATGGGCATAATAATTGATCATCCCTTAGACCACAATTCTTTATTTGTTGGTAGATTCATAGAGGTATTCCAATGGGAGAATTATAAATAACTAGCAAACAAATAATAATGAAAGTTAAGAAATGGATCAAAGTCCTTAAGAACAATTATTGAAATTGAAAGTTACTATGATGAATAGTTTAATACATTATGCGGTCCTTGTTTATAATTTCCATTCTTCAATTTTTATTTTATTTGCAAGATAAGTAAATAGTGCCAAGTAGCGAGCAAACCGTAGATGAAGCATATTCCCTGTCAATATTTCTACAAGTGCCGTTGATAAAAAAGGATTTGTATAAAAAGAGTCAAATTGCATCCAGCATCTTGAATTATTTTTGAAGGCATTCAACATCTTAAAATATTTAGTGCCACAATGTTGCTCCTAGTGTATTAAAAATGGAGCGATTCTCACATCAAACTAATAAAACTTTCACCTCCGTTATATTCATGGTTCATTATCTTCATCACAGCACAATTTTGTCTCTAAAAATAATTCGGAATGCTGGGGACACCTCAACTGGAAAAAAAAACAAAAAGAAATTATAACTCAGTGAAAATAAAGGGAAAAGGACAAAACAATATAAATATGTGGAGCTAATATTAACACAAGGCTGTCTTAAGGCTTAACATGATTTTAAAAAAAAAAACAATCAGGTGCTGCCACAAAATAATGGCACATTCCATGGCGTGTTGGACCAACCGAATGGATCGTTTGGACAATGCAAAGTATTTTGATCTTGTCTTACATTTAAATAATCTCCCACAAATCTTGAAGGTTCAAATTTGAGATATTTCTTAAAGAATATCATGTCTATCGATAATAACAGTATGTTAGGACACAGAGAGAGAGAGAAACCAGTGAGCATTTTATCTATATGTATCTTCCATCAAAATGCAGAAAGATATGGTGCACAAGTCAATATATACTTAAAAGAAGGAAGGAACGGTGCTAGCTTCTGACTCAAAAACACTGTTGCCAAGAAGAAATAAAAGTTAAAAAAAATCTTTCATTGTATTAAAAAGAGAAATTAAAAGAATAAAAAACTTGTCAAGAAAAAAATAAAAGCTATGTATGTGCCAAATACTTAAAATGAAGGAAATACTAAAACAATAAATATAGTACGTAGTTTCATAATTTTACCAAAAAAACAGAAAGAAATAATAGTTTTGCATGAGATAAAGTATTATTCAAAGGTAAGGGTGGAAACAGGCTAGGCTAGGCTAGGCTAGGTTAGGCTAGGCTTTAGCTAAACAGGCCTGGGCCTGTATCAGAGATCTAAAGCCTAGGCTTGAGCCTAAGCTTGTATGTAGGCTTTTTTTTAAGCTCGAGCCTGAGCCTCCAAAAGGCCCAAAAGCCTTTTTAAAAGCCTACTTAAAATTTAGGTATTCAAATAGGCTTAAAAGCACATGCCTTGAAATGCATGTATAACTCTTCAAACCTATTTTAAAACCTACGTTATGTCTTAAAAGCTTAGGATCTATTCTCACATACAATATAAGTCTAGTAAAGAAAAAGAATGCTTAGTGACAACAATTGTTCCAGTAAATATGAATAAGAAAAACCAATTATATGTTTGCTAAGGAGATATATTTTCTAAAATCAACCAAACCCAACAACTGGCATGTAAAACTAGATTTTACCTCTTGCTTTTCTAGCAGTATTATAATATTTCATTTGGGCATCACTAAAACAAACTTACTACAATTATTATGCTTTAGTGAACAACGTAAATCAGGGGAGAAGGAGTGAGCTAACATAGTCATCTTGAGTGATCAAAGAAAAGAAATGTAGAGGTGAAAGATTGATTGATAAAAAGGCTGCGTTTGTGTGTAAATGATGGGATGTGAGACTTAGGATTATGGCTAAGTTAGTAATTTTATAAATAATTTATAAAATTAATCTAGATTATATTATATAATAGTGTAAATTAAAAAAGAAAAAGCTAAATAGGTTAAGCCTGTAAGCTTGTAGGCTAGGCCTTATAAAAATAGGTCTAACCTGTTTACCTAGATAGACATTGCAATAGGTCTAAGCCTGACCCTAGCCTATTTACTAAATAGGCTAAGTTAGGCTTAAAGTAGGCTAGGCTATAGGCCCCTGATAGGGGTCTAGCCTACTTCCACTCCTATTCAAGGGTTGTGGTCGATGCATAAGACAACTTGCGTGAGATAATAGTTTTGCATGGGATAAAATGAACTTATTAGAGTTTGCATTTTGGGGAGGAAAATGGTGCTAGCTAATGTTGTGCGCATAATGTTTATTGTGGCACAATAGAAGTTTTTTTTTTTTGGGGGGGGGGGGAGGGTAGGCTCTTCTTGTCTTGCCAAACTGGGCCGGCTCTCTACATTCAATGGAAGAACATAAAGAAAATGGAATCTTCCGAGGACAAAAAAAAATGGAATCTTCCTGGGAAAAAAAAAAGAAAAAGAAATAGTGGAGGGATTCCCTTTATATTTGAAAAGCAAATGGAGAATAAATTCAAGATTTGATACTCTTTTAGTCATATTTATAAGTTACTTTCAAAACAAATCATATGGATCAATAAAAACTTTAAATTTAATTAACTCTCATTTAAAGCTCAGATTCATTTGGATTCAAGAATCTTTTTTGAAACATCCACAAAACAAAGAGCTATCTTATAGCGATTAGATTTTATACACCTAGTTTGACCACTCCACGCCTACCCTAGTTTTTTTAATCTCATATTTTTAAAATCCTATTTAATATACAATATACGTTATGATAACAAAGTCAACATAATAATAAATGAAGTGTAAAGTTACATATTCATATAAAAATTTTCTCTTTCTGCCATATAAATAGGACCAAAATTTTTTTTCTCTTTCTGTCATATAAATACGACCAGAGGAGTATATACTAATCTCAAAACTTCTTTATATTCCTGAACGATATTAAATTTTCTTTATAGCAAAGAGTTAGAAGTATTTTTGTTGAATTATATTAAAATTCGAATCTTAGTTTGTCATGTAAGACACTAGACCCGACTCATTGGTACTTTAGCTTTTTAAATTTATATGATGACATGACGTCGGGGAACTATTTTAAACCGGAGTTAGCATTTTTCCTACTTTCTACCTATTTCTTGTTTTCAATTAATATATTAAAATTTGAGATACATCAAAATTTAAATGGTTCAAATTTAATATTAGTTTTAAAATTTTTTATAAAACATTTTCATGATATTTTTTTCATGTAGATTTAGAATGTCTAAATCAAATTCTAGCAATATAGTACTGAGTTCTTCCCGGGTGGGATTGGTGAAATAAACAAGAACTGTCACTGTAATAATAAAGCAATACAATTATTCCAGAGTAAAGGCAAATTAAAGATGAGAACATTCATGGTTTTGGAGCATGATTAATTTTTTTCCCTTCTTGTTTTTTGGTCGTATTATAGAAGGAAAAATACAATATTTCTTGCTTGATTAAGTTAATTTTCTTTCCAAAACAAGTTTAGTTGGTCTTACGCAGGCAAATTTCAATGTAATTGAAAAGCAAATGGACAACAAATTCAAGATTTTGATATATACAGCAATCTCAAAACTTCTTTATATTATATTTCTGAATGATATTAAATTCTTTTTATAACAAACACTTAGAAGTATTTTCGTTGCATGGTATTAGCATTCAAGTCTATTAAGCATTCATCACTTTTCAGTTTTAACTATCTCTAGTCAATTAAGCATCGTTTTCTTTCAATCCTCTCCATCGAATTATAGGAAAAGCCTTTGTCTTAGTCATCAATGCTTTTAAAACCTTTCAAGTCTTCTCAGTGTTCCTCCCCACTTGTTTTTGTTGGTCCAAACTCCCTTGCGGAAAATCACGCATTCACTTGTCTAATCCTTATTCTTGTTACTTTGATTTAAACAATCAATAAACGATTGTTTTTTATGTATTAAAATTAGCCTACCAAACAAGTATATTTTTTATCCGAATAATAATAAAATAAAATATTTTACAACTTTAGATTTAATTAATATAAATTTACAATTATTATAAATTTAATTAACATGTAAATAATAATGAAATCCAATAAAAAACAGCTAGCGACGACTAAGACTTTATTCTTTTGAAACTTATAAATTTGCACCTTAGTACTGCTGAGGTGATTGAGAGTGACTTATATATTTGCGGGACACACGAGCAAGACATGCTATATATTTATCAAAATACATACATACATACATACATACATACATACATACATACATACATACATACATAGCGATCCTACACTTGAGGTACATGAAAGTGAAACTTGGATTCTTCGTCACAGCTTCACTTTCCACCACTAAGGATGATGGATCCATTGAACACACAAACAAGAGATCATGCATGCGCAGCTGCATTTATTTAAATGTGCCTGTAATCAAATCCAGCGCGCGCGCGCGCACACACACACAGCGTTGAAATTCATCCATGCATGTTTAGTTAGTTTTGTTTGGGAAGCCACGCAATGGTGTCTTGAAAAAGGAAGTGGCATATTGGAACACTGCCTGGTTTCACTTTCAGCATTTGGAAGGCCAGATGTTTTGGGTCCCAGGCTGACGTGTCTCTGGGACATACACTCACAGCTTTCACTCTGCTCCCATCAGCCCCCTCCAACGACACCGTATAGGCCACCGTATTCTCTATTTTGTGACAGTAGAACACAGCATACGCATAGTTCATCTTGTGGCACACCACCAGATTTGTCTCTCCCACCTTCTTCACCCCATTCGTTATTGTGTATTCTTGCTTCTTTGTTTCCTCCTTCTTCGTGACCACCTCCGTAGACAAAGCTTGCACGTTTCTGCCAAGCTTCAGAATGGTGAGATCAAGCATGGATTCTAAGGATGTTGCACAATACTTGTCCTCTCCTTTAATCCCCGGCTCCTCACACTCTTTAATTGTATTCTTCATAACCTCAGCACTTATGGAGCCAGGCTTCACAGCAAACTTGTTCAGTATTTCAGCCATCTGTTCGTAAATAATCATAAAGACATGTTTTAGTTATTACAGAATATATCTATCAGACGTGCATGGTAGAATTAATGTCCGGCCGTACCTCGGTTGAAGAAAAGGGGATGGATTTGACGACATCACGAGGCAGGAAGCAGGCTTGGTTGGGGGATTTGTGGAAGATCAAGTTCATTTTGTGACCAGCCTTCAAATCCTTTCCCAAGAAGAAGAGAGTTATGTCGGGATTATCTGGGAGTTTGGCCTCAGACTTATGATTAGCATAACCAGTGAAAGATTCTTCCGAATAAGTCGACTTAGGGTTACCATAACCAGTGAAATATTCTTGAGGATAATAAGTCGACTTATGGTTACCATAACCAGTGAAATATTCTTCAACGTTAGGATGGAAATCTGTCACATCACAGTGGAAGACGGAGCCGCCACCTGACAGAAACTTAGTGTGCATTGTATATTTGTCATGTGAAGCTGGTTGAGATAATAAATCCGCGGAAAAATTACCAATAATATATATAATCAGAACTATAACGACGGAGCCGCCACCTGACTTGTCAGCATGAACTATATATATATATATATATATAGTGCACCTAGTGTATGTGCATTATTTGTCAAGTGATAATAAATTACCAATAACATAACATAACCAGTACTATATTATAATACAAACCAGTTGGGTGAAGGAGATCAGCAACATATTTAGGCATTGGAGTTGCAGGGGGAAGCATGTACTTCCAGTAAAGCTCAGGAGTTAAGACAGCATGCGTTGCCACCACTGCAATCAGCAGCAACTTCATAAATAATATGAACATACACATTAGCATTATGCTATGAGATCAGAGTGCCAACAATAGGATTATATTTACTCTTCTTGTATGTAAGATATGGATGAAGGCCATATCCCATTGGGTACTATATATAATAGCTTCCGCTCACGGCCTATGCTTTTATTTCCTTCTTCTTCTTTTTTCCCTCCAAACAGAACAAACAACAAGAATAAAGATTTTGTGCCAATATAAATTTATAAATTTCTTCTCAAAATTATTGATCGGTTGTTTTTAATAATTGATTTCATTAAAAAAATGTTTCTTTTTAATGAAGTATTGAAAACTGGAATGTTAAAGTTAACCAGTGAAAACAATGATTCCAGGGTCGGCGATTCAAATTGGGTCGAACTGGTTATAATAAAAAAAAATATTTAATTAAGAAGCAATTTTGTCTTGAAAGTTTTTATGCAAGAGCTGCTCATATCTGAAAGGTTTTAATTTGTTAGATCAATATCATCCTGAAAGTATTAAAAAAGGAGTAACATCGCTTCTCACCACTCTTAACTATCGTCAGTTTTTTTACAGTCAATATTTTTTTTTTTAACGGTTAGAGCAATTTTGCTCCTTTTTCAAAACTTTCAGTATGATACTGATCTAACAAAAAACTTCCAAATATTTACTACTCCTATACGTAAATTTCGGAGCAAAATTAGACTTTAATACCATATGAAATGTCTTCGTCATTGCTTGTTGATTCTCAGTTTTGCAGTTATGTGCGTTCGTCGCTTAAATAAAGATACTGCAAGTAGTGACAACTTCTGATGTATTCGCTATTTTAAGTCATGCGTAGTTTCTTTCTTTGATCTCGGTCACACAACATAAGAAAAGTCTTCGTGTAGTTGCATATGTCATCGATTGTCGTTAATTGCATTTACAACTCAATTTAGAAGATACTCCTCTGGTCTTATTTACAGGATAGAGAGAAAAGATTCTTTGGGGTCATATTTACAAGTCACTTAATTAAATTTTTATCATGAATGTACTATATTATCCTTCATTTATTATAGTGTAGATAGTTTTTTTAAAATGTGTATATATTAAATATGGGTAAAATTGGAAAGTTGTTATATTTTAATGAAAAGTTAATGCAGTCTAAGGTTTTCTTTCGTCTGTGTGAAACACGTTAAAAGTGCCTTATAAATAGGACCAGTAGAGTATACATATAGTGAAAGTTTGTTCCAGATAAGTTGATTTCATGATTACCAATTTGAATTAGTATATATGTAAATACTTTTTGAATTCAAAAGCATACCAAGGCTTCACTAATGATTAGCAATTTGTACAAGTATTTATATTATTATTTTCTTCAAAATTGTACATATCAAATATAAGTTGAAACATTATTAAATTTTAAGGCAAAGTTAATAAAATTTGAGGTTTTTATTGGTTCTAGTGACACATGTTGGAAGTGATTTACAATTAGAATTAGAAAATTTGTACAAGTATTTATATTATATTTTCTTCGAAAGTGTATATATCAATATATATATAAGTAAAGTTGAAACATTATTAAATTTTAAGGCAAAGTTAATAAAATTTGAGGTTTTTATTAGTTTCAGTGACATATGTTGGAAGTAACTTACAATTATAATTAGAAAAGTAGTTAACACACATAAGTTCTTTAACCTATGTAGATTAATTTTTCAGCTCCTATACTAAGAAAGGAAGGGAGTATTTTCATGTCTGTTCTATCCCAAGGCAAAGTCATTCTCATTGTGCATACCTTTATCTTATTCCAAGTCATCTGGAGAAAAATTTTGGAAGTTGTTGAGTCTTCAATTATAATGGGAATGAATGATTCTTTTGATACTTTGCTTCATAAGAACAGATAGTTTGCTCTGTTGTGATTACGGAGTGCATGTATATATATAAACAAGAAAGAAAAGCGTCTTGCTTTTAAGATGTTTCTTTCAGTGGGATTGTTGCTTATGCAAAACTCCAAGAAGCCGTACGCAATTTGGGCGATATTTCCAAGTTGAGAATGAAATAATATCTCCGGTTCTTTCGTAACATTCAATGTGGTTGAAAAATACTCCTCCAATCCTTCATATAGGATATCTAATTGTTAAGTTGATCTTGGTCTTAAGTGTAAGATATATTTCTCATATTTATCAATTTTTTTAAATTACTTTCATTGATACTCCCTCAACCATAATTAAATAGGAGAGGAAAGGAGAATATTAAGGCAAACGATTATGGTATCTTAGAAAAAATATATCATAAATCAACTTACCTAACTTTCTTAATTTAATTAAATTAGTTAAATAAGTTTTATATTAAGAACTGGAAGAGTATGTTAATATTCCCTCTGTTTCTTTTTATAAGAGCGTGAAAATTGAATTGTCTTAGTCTTTTTTATAAAAGCTTATTTGAAGTTGTCTGAACATTCAATACATTTTTACCATTTTTACCCTCAATTAATTTTATACATTGCATTAATTAAAAGGTTGACAACTTGACATACTACATTTTCTTTCATACTTTCTCTCATTATTACTCTATTTTTCTCCCTTACTTACCCGCTTTTGAATAATGGTATACTTAGAAAGGGAAAAAAAAAGTCATTTCTCACACATTTATTATTTTTAACTAATTTTAACTATTTTTTAAATCAAGTAATTTAGTTATTAGGCTTTAATAAAAAGGACCAGAGAAAGTATTATTAGCTAAGGGTAATAAATTAATAATTTTAACTGTAAGGAATATGCTAATTTTCTAAATATGCCCTTATTTATAAGAGGATAGTTGAGAGAGAGAGAGAGAGAGAAATAGGGGAAAAAATGAAAAAATGTATTGGAAAAATATAATGCAATTAATCAAGGATAAAATTATTAAAACTGCATTTAATATTTAGACAAGCCCAAAATTAAATATTACTCCTCTGATCCTATTTATAAGTCACTTTCAATATGTTTCATACAGACAAAGAAAAAACTTAAACCACTACAAAAAAATAGACTTTAGGCGACGACTTTCGGCGGCGACAAAAGTGTCGCTGCTGAAAGTGGACCTTCAGCGGCGAAAATGGACCTTCAGCGGCGACTTTTTTTGTCGCCGCCAAAAGTGGACCTTCAGCGGCGACTTTTTTTGTCGCCGCTGAAAGTATAATATAATAATATATATTTTATTTTACAATATTAATAAACAAATTGCCGAAAATGGACCTTCAGCGGCGACTTTTTTGTCGCCGCCGAAAGTGGACCTTCAGCGGCGACTTTTTTTGTCGCCGCTGAAAGTATAATATAATAATATATATTTTATTTTACAATATTAATAAACAAATTGCCGAAAATGGACCTTCAGCGGCGACTTTTTTGTCGCCGCCGAAAGTGGACCTTCAACGGCGACTTTTTTTGTCGCCGCTGAAAGTATAATATAATAATATATATTTTATTTTACAATATTAATAAACAAATTGCCGAAAATGGACCTTCAGCGGCGACTTTTTTGTCGCCGCCGAAAGTGGACCTTCAGCGGCGACTTTTTTTGTCGCCGCTGAAAGTATAATATAATAATATATATTTTATTTTACAATATTAATAAACAAATTGCCGAAAATGGACCTTCAGCGGCGACTTTTTTTGTCGCCGCCGAAAGTGGACCTTCAGCGGCGACTTTTTTTGTCGCCGCTGAAAGTATAATATAATAATATATATTTTATTTTACAATATTAATAAACAAATTGCCGAAAATGGACCTTCAGCGGCGACTTTTTTGTCGCCGCCGAAAGTGGACCTTCAGCGGCGACTTTTTTTGTCGCCGCTGAAAGTATAATATAATAATATATATTTTATTTTACAATATTAATAAACAAATTGCCGAAAATGGACCTTCAGCGGCGACTTTTTTGTCGCCGCCGAAAGTGGACCTTCAGCGGCGACTTTTTTTGTCGCCGCTGAAAGTATAATATAATAATATATATTTTATTTTACAATATTAATAAACAAATTCAATCTGGCTCAGCGGCAAGAAGGTTGGACACGAAGGGAGGCGGTCACGAGTTCGAACCTGGAAGAAGACACATTTAAGGTGAAAATATTTAGACGATGACGTGGCGAGGAGGAGTGACGTGGCAATGACGTGGAGGTGGCTAGTGATGATGTGGCGGTCGGCAGTGATGACGTGGCCGTCAATGGCGATGACGTGGAGGTCGACGGTGCTGACGTGGCGGCCGGAGACGATGACGTGGCACCGGCGGTGATGACGTGGCATTGGTAAAGCCAATTCTTCTTAGGCATTACTTTCAGCGGCGACAAAAAAGTCGCCGCAGAAAACACTTTCGGCGGCGACACGAAAAGTCTTTCAGCGGCGACAAAAGTGTCGCCGCCGAAAGTGTTTTCTGCGGCGACTTTTTTGTCGCCGCTGAAAGGCTTTTCAGCGGCGACAAATGTCGCCGCCGAAAGTGTTTTCGGCGGCGACATTTGTCGCTGCTGAAACTTCTAAAAGTCGCCGCTGAAAGTATCTTTTAACGGCGACCTTTTTAGTCGCCACTGAAAGTTTTCAGCCACGGCTGCTACGGCAACGACTTTTCAGCGGCGACTTGTCGCCGCAAAAAACTTTCGGCGGCGACTTTTGTACTTTCAGCGGCGACTTTTGTCGTCGCTGAAAGTCAATTTTTTTGTAGTGAACTTCATTAACTCTTATTTAAAATTTAACAACTTTCTAACTTTATCTCTGTTTAATATATATTATACATCATGTAAACAAAGTCAACACAATAATAAATGAAGAATAAAATCATACATCCATACAAAATTTTTTTCTCAATGCCTTATAAACAGACCAAAAAATATCTTCTCTCTCTGTCTATAAATAGGACTAGAGGAGTATAAAAAGGACCGAGGAGATTCAAAATTTTGGATTTTATAAAAAAAGACTGGAGGTAGTACATGCTTTATTAAGGGGACCGATTTCAAATTTCTCCGAAATTGACCACAAGGTATTTGTTTCTTGGAGGGTCCACTGATCTTAACAATTTGTTTGCCATTCGACTTTCTTCATCTATTGATAAAGATAATTCC